TGATGATGCTATTGGCTTATCACCATACTCCTCCTCATGTTGATGATTATGATGATGATGATCATCCATAAATATAACGATAGGAATATTTGATGAACGTGATGATGATGTGACGACATCTCCATCAACATCGTCGATATCCACACTAAATATTATTACTAGTATTATTATTATAATACATTATGTTACATCTTTCTTCCACATAATGTAGTAACGTTATTGTTGTTGTTGTTGTTATCCCTATTAGTACTCATAACTTGTGTGTTAAGAAATACTCTAGCTAGTGGACCAGATGATTTCAATACTTCAATATTTGGTTGGAATCTTCTTACCATCATTACATTATTACTATTATTTTGAGGTATATACTCATGACATGATATACATACACGTATGATGGGAACACGTGATGTATTAGTACTAGTAGTAGCAAGAAAATGATGTTGCAGGATCTAATAATAACAAGAATAATGATACTATTGATAACAATGATTATTATTATCACCTTTGCATATTCCATTTCCATTTTTGGATCTTTAGTTTCCCATATTAGCAATATTTCCTGATACAAGTATATAATCATAATCACTACACCACATACTACTACTACCTCCTCATCCTTCCCATTAGACTTTAACCAATGCATAAGCTCCTTATACAGTATCTTTGGATTACTATATTCCTCTTTTATCGAACATTCATCATCATATACATAATAAGTTGGTATACGTCTAGGCATAGTATGACAACTATGACCAAAGTGTATCTATTAGTGCATATAATAATAATAATGCTCTTCTTCTTGTTGTTGTCGTTGTTATTACTATACAATGTGCTGCATAATGTTCAGCATTAACTTCATCAACACAGCATGAACCCTGTTTAGTATCCCCAATAACCTATAATAAGTGCTAATCATATGCTATTAAAAGATGACTCTTATAATTATTACGAACACTTCATGTTCTTGTGGTGATAGTCTACTAGATAGTTCCTTACATATTCTTGGAGATCTAATAATAATAACCTTTATGATGATAAGAAGATACCAGTAGTATACTTGATAATGTTGTTGTTTTTGTTTGTGTTATTACCTTATCAACATGGTATCGGGGAATTGAAGAGCTATACGTTGATAGTTGTGATCAAGTATCCATTTAACGATATCATCATAGTAGCAGCCAGATGATGATGATGATACTCTTGTCATTATGGTGGTAAACTACCAATACTAGGGAGATGATAAACTACTACTAAAAGGAAGAATATGAAGAAAAAAGCCGACCTGAATTGATACACCAACAATTACAGATTGGGTATAATAATAATAATAATAATACTGACAGAAACTTAAATCATTTACCGTTTGTTATCATCATCACTATTACTACTATGGTGACGATGCATTGTGTTGTAGGATGTTTAGGAAATAGGATGATATCTCAGCATTGAGAGAATCCTTATCATCAATAGCTTGTTGCCATGATTTAATAGATATATGATGATATGTAGGGAGCATTTGATTTATAATACGATTCTTAAGTCTTGATGCTCCTGTTGGCCAATACTCTTCCAAGTTATTAATATTCCTTGAAAAGTGATAAGGACCATCAACTTCAATAATAACTCCTCCTCTTCCTCTTCCTTGTACTTCTAGTTCTTTACTCTGTATTAGAGCATCAACAATAAAACCACATTGTGGTAATAACACTTCATTAAGGCACGTATAATTATCATCATGTAGTATTATATTGGATAATATATTATTTTGCATATTACTACATCTTAATCTAGATGTACTAGTTAATCTATTAATAGATACCTCTTTAGCTCTATTTAATACCTCCAGTGGTATTGATGGTATGATATGATTATGATCATCTTCATTATGTAGTAAGACGATACTAGCATGATATAACATCATATTCAATTCATCATTAAGGATAACAATAGTACCACTAGTATTACCATCATTATTATTATACCATTGTATATAGGAAAGCTTAGTATAATCAATGGGTATATTTAATACAGCACATATCCATATATATAATACTCCTTCT